AACATTAAATTTGTTTTAATATATTGTTCACAGTTTTCCAATTAAAATGATACCAAACACGATATCCTTTAGACCATTCTTACTCATTATACGTAATAAGTAACTTATTTTATTTGCGAAAAAAGGATTAGAAAAACCGATTTTTAACATATAAAATATTAAAGGCAAGGTCAAAGAAGGTATGTACATATGTTTTTCAAAAGAAAATATCAGTGAAGTTATGATATTCGAGCCTACGTTCGACGCCGGAAATGAGGAGGCCTTACCGGCATGGGAGAAGTCCATGGGTAAGAGACGCCAAGAAGGAAGAGTTTCTGGTTTAGAATTTGCTGGCATGGGAAAAGTTCAGCGCTCCAGCGATTGCGAACTCCCTGATCACCCTCCATACCTGCGAAAACTGTGACAGCAGCGCACTAATCACAGTCATCCTTGCATCTGTTTCATTGTTCCCAAGTATCAGAAAATAGTACATATTTAGGGCGACAAATTTGTATTTTTTGGGAGAATGAAATAAACATCAGTAAAGGCAACAACTTTGCCTAAACTCTTCGCCACCGCACACCACGTGCATCTTAGCAGTAAATTACGTGCAACGACTATTGTCTTTGATTTTATTGTCAACAGAAATATCTGTCCAAACTATATTGTGTTTGGTCTCATTTTAATCAGAATTATAATGTTAAAATTAAAAAAAGTTACGTCATTACATTATGAGTTGTCTTCCGAGAATTCGAGTCAAATTCGGTGAACACGTGTTCACAGGGCCGTAGCAATATCTCAGTGTCAGAATTGGCATATTCAAGTTACACCAATGGAAGAGAGACACTACTGTACATATTTAGATTTAAAGTTGTCAAAAGAACACCCTATATATTCAGTTTGTATAGGCGTTTCATTAATTTTTATTTACATTGTATTAACAACTTTACACAATTTATTAACGTTTCTCTTTGAGTTTTTAATTTTCTTCAACTATCATGATTCTTGTGTGCAGAAACAAATACCATATGTAATAAATGACACATACAAACTATCACATTCATAGAACTGAGAAACATCGCATATTTTCAGAAGTAATTTATGTAGTGAGTGAAGTGCGTGCGCGTTAAGAATGTGTATGGAGAGCTAGGTGTGTGTGTTAATAAATTAGTGTAGGCTGTACATTACAATGTTCCTTCGGAAGTTGGAGCACTAAGCTACGAGCCACGACCATAACAGAACAAGCAACATATACCTCTTGGAGATAACATTGTAAGCGTTCTACCATTGCTTCCTAATAACAATAAAAGTATCGTTATACACAACAATCTTTTTTAAGAACTGTATCAATGAACAGCTAATGTTTTCCTGATTAAGTGAAGTACATACACGCTATAAATCGGATAAAGTGGACTACGTGAGCATTCCAACGTTTCATGCGAAGTTCACCAACTAATTATATTTACGACTTCTGATGATATATTTTAATTTGCTCTATTTTTAGTATATACATATGTATGAATATCAACACATACATACATATACGGGAACACATTAACCATTACGACGTCGCAATTGTTTATGCCATTCTTAATATATTCGTACTAAGAAATAATGCATTGCGTATTAAAACGAGATATTTATTGCATCAAGCTTATAAAAAGTTACATATGTATCTCTTCAGTGTCATTTGAGAAGGGTACAGTTCCACTTGAAAAGCTGAACGCTATGCCGACTTGTTTTCCATCCAATATCGGATTATTTGACTTTATAGTCAAAGGAAATCGTACCAAGCGAGGCCAAGTCATTGGCACAAGGAACAGTTTCGGTCCTAAAGTAGAATCTGAGACTGAATTAATAAGTTCTAAAATTCTCTCCAGAAATACTGCTAGCTCATATGATGATGTATCAATTGATAAAAAGAATACAGTTTCATAAAAAAGAGGTTTAGAACACTGTGTATCTCTAAAGTAAAGTTTAAAGTGTCTAGAAGTAGGACTGATGTACGATTCTTCCATGAGAAGAAGACGTGGCCCATTTCTGCTGCAGTCCGCTGTCCCTCCTATAATCGTAGGCAGTGATCGATATTGATCGAAGACGGTGACAAAGGTCAACGACGGATAGTAGCGAGACCGAGTGTGACAGTCATTTTTCCGTATATGTTCTAACATTATTGCCTCTCACTCGGTCTCCCTAGTTCCCGGCTACTATCTGCGATCATAGGAGGAACACCCCGGACAACAGCCGAAGTTTGTTTGTGCGGGTCCTTCTATAACGCGAGAGGAGTGACGAAGCCAAACCCTCGGTTGAAGAATATCGACATTCGACTTTTCGAGCCGTTCGGCATCGACCAAAGCCAACCGCGCGGCATACCCGATCGGCAAAAGCCAAGCCAATGGAATCGAGGCTTGAAGCAGTAATCGAAGTGTCTCGCAATGCAACATTGGGATTCGCGTCCTAACTATCGCCGCAGCGTCTCGCTTTCCGCGAGAAAAATACGTACATAAGAAATCATAAAATTGTGTAAAATAGAGATATAAAACGGCATCGATCATAAATAAATAATAATAATATTTTTTAAATTTATTTTCATAACTTTTCAACTTAACTTATTTGACCTTGACATAACCTTTAACTTTGAACATACAGATAAAATATGAAATTATTGTCTGTTGGTATCTCAAGATTTAGAGACAGATGCAGTAAAATACAGAATTATACGATGCAATCCATGAAAATTAACATGCAGGGAGATCCCTTGGGTGAGATAGAGGGTCTCGGTAGGAAAAATGTAGGCATATAGAGGCAAGGCACAGAAGAGTTAAGGCGAGGTTCCAAGAGGTTTGGAAATGATAGGGCCCGTTTATTTTCTCAAGAGATATGGTTTAGGGAACAGTGTCGGCGCGGTGACGTTAGCATAAATGGACCTTAAATGAACTTTTACGCGCCCATTTACGGGAAAACTTGAACTATCTACTTTGAACTATCCACTGATGCCAGAATTATAAAAGTTAGGCGATAATTACTGAAAATGAAATTTTCTTTATAGCAAGTTTATTTTTTGTTGGAAGCGATGTTCCTTCAAATATAAAGCTCAGTCGTCGCTGTTTAACGTACTACATCTATCACGCTTCTGCTTATTATATTTATTCTTTTACTATATCTAGCCTTGCCAGAGTTCGTTCTGTTTTCATTTTTCGCGACCAAAGTTTGAAGTTGAAAAATTAGAAAAAATCCTTAGTACGTGGTTTAATAACTAAAATTTCCCAGATTTATTACAGAATTTTTAAATTCGACCAAATGGAAAAAATGAGCAAAAAATAACGGCAACATTGTAAAACATTGCATACTAATAAATAACAATCAGCTCCGAATTCTTTTATTATTAAAAATGTTATTATGAAAATATTACTAATCGTCTGTAAATGTTTTTCTGATCAAAACGAGTCTAAATCGAACAATAACGTAGATTATATTAGAATAAAAAACTTCATGAAAAATATTTCCAAAAACGATTTCTGTCTCTGGGATTGCAAAACTACAATCTGAACCAGCAGGAAAATAAGATTGATCTGTAATAAGAAAAGTTGACTATTTCACAATTACGGATTGATTAAATCTCAGTTTTCTCGAATTTCATAATTAATAATAATTTTACAAGATCTTTCGTCAATTAAAATTGTTGACGTTTAAATTAAACATATTAAGAAATAAAAAATCAATTAAACTTGTCTTTTAAATTAAGATCTATATTGCTTGAAGTTAAAATTTCGCAAAGTAATAAGAAATATACTCTTCTAGAATATCTCTGAACAAAAGAGAGAGAGAGAGAGAGAGAGAGAGAGAGAGAGAGAGAGAGAAAAAGATGTGAGGTAATGGGAATGGTACATACAAGTGGCATAATGTACACAATAAATGAATGCATTCTAATTTTTATAATCAAGAGTCAATCCAAATTGTATATTTATAATTTTCAAATAAGGTTTTATATTTGTAAATATATGATATTTATATTTGTAAATGTATGATATTTATATTTGTAAAATAATGTTTTGACGAAAATAAATATAGATATAATATAAAAGAATGTTATCAAATGAAAAAATAAAATCTCAAGCAGGGTATCTCAAGCCATTAGCTTGGCTTTTTCCGATTGGGCATACCGCGCGGGATGCCGACACAGTGATCGGCTGATCACTTCAGCCGATGCCAAACAGCTCAAAAAAATCGGATGTCGATATTCTTCAACCGAGGGTTTGACTTCGTCACTTCTCCTCTCGCGTTATCGGAGGTCCCGTACAAACTTCGGCTGTTGTCCTTTCTGTTGTTCTTTCTATGACCGCAGGCAATGATCGATATTGGTCGAAGACCGTGACAAAGGTCAACGACGAGTAGTAGCAAGATTGAATGAGAGAGAGTAAAAACGGTACAGTAATTTCTTTAGGATTTGCCGAACTGATTTCCCAAATAAATATGGAATCCCAAATGTATGTCGTGTTTGGTCTCATTTTAATTGGAAGAATCACACCACAATATGTTAAACAAATTTTCATGTAATAAAAGTTAGAAATAAAAAATTAAATCATCGTTTTTATTCTAACATTACTTTTTAATTTTATTGTCAAATATTTATTACCAAATAACAATTGCTTCCAAATTTTGTACACATTATTTTATCACTAAGTGTTACAATTTAGGCAGGAAAGACTAGGAAAAATAGTGTAGGAATCAGTATTGCTGAGGTTATTTACATTATAAGAACATGGAAAAAATGAATTATCGGTCGACCGGGATAGCTTAATTAGTTAAAACAGTCGCCCGACAAGTAAATGATCCGGGTTCGAATTCCGTTCCGCCGATTTTATCCGATTTTCTCCAACAATAGAAAGTCGAAAAATGCCCTAATGGCAAGTCCTTATGATGTCATGAGTATGTCGATATTTATCCCTAAAGAGTAACTTGCTAGATGCAGAAAAATTAGGGTAGATTAAAAAAGATAAGGTAGAGTATTTGTTGTTTACCTTCACGTCACCGAACATTTCGACGAGATCATGAGAACCACTTCCCAGAGCAAGATGATACAATATATCTTGATCCATGAGTTCAATGTTTGGATTTCGAAGTCGCACAGATCCATCTCTGTATCTAGAAACATACAATACGGAATCAATTGAGTAAAAATAGAAAATATTTTATTCGTTGATAAACATGTTTTTATCGTTATGTTACGTATTTGATAGTATAGGAAAATTGATTGACTTGATAGATGACAATTAGCTGTTAGCATGGAACAGGAATGAATTAGGTTATTATGTGACTCTGACGAAATGTTCTACAGAATTAAGACTTATGTGTTCTATTTTTATATTATAATATTCACTTAATAAAGTTATTCATGCTTACATTCAATGACAAATCAATACTTTATGTTTACGGTGAAAGTGGATAATCAAGATTGTCTCTATTTACTGCAGGATTGCTTGAAAATTAGTTATAATTAGCGTTAGAGAATTGTTTTTAATTTCCATAAATGCATATTTACACCAATGTAAATCTTATTTAACGTGTGTATGTATTATCTTGAAACTGACATTAAACAACATTGTTTCCGCGTATCCTGTATTTAATATTGAGAGTGTAAAGGTACAAACTATACACTCAAAAGATCGTTTTAAATATAAAAACACCAACTAGTTGAGCTCGATTTGGTCTCTAATTCACAAAAAATTTTCTAAAACATCAATCCACAAAAAACTCAAAATAAATTAATTCACTCAAAAAATAATGCAGAAGATATTAATCCAAAAATATTAATCTCACAAAAAATCATTCAAAAATTATGAACAAACCCTTCAATTACAAAAAATGAAATATAAATCCACAAGGTAAACTCAGTAAAATGTTAAACTTCGGAAGGATATGAAAAAATACTCCAAAAAATATTTATTACAATTTAATTTGATTTGAAGAAAGAATTAAAATCAGAAGTAGTTGTCCACATTATATTTGATTAAAATTTGAATAAAATAGTGAAAATAAAAATAGTTGCTCCATTTATACAGTGTCCACCACAACCCGTTAATTAGAAAATCACGATACTTGGGAAATTTCATTCTTTTTTTTACTACTACTATGTATCTTTGCGACTGATGTGTAAAAGATCATTTGCTCGTATCATTTTCTTACTTATCGTGCGTATGTATCGTGATGTGATTTTTGTTACAATTATCAGCATATATCCATTGTGATGTTGCGGAAATGCCGACATCACTTCTCCCTTTTCTGCGATGGAAGAAACCGCCTTTATTGAGGACCGCTGCCCTCAATCAGATCACGCGTATATTCGCGACAATAGAAAGCAATTCCTCGAGGAAAATTTGGGTAAAATTCTGATTCGCGACTAATTTAAATTACGCGCCGAATATGACCGAACTTTTAGCATTATTCTATACCTAACGATAACTTTTTGAGAGGTACCCTGGATTGTTAGTTTCGTGGAACCTCTCTCGTTTTACAGCTGGAACAAATAATCCTGTGCGCACGGATCCAGAACGGAGAAGCTACCACACACAGGCCAAAGAATCCGGAGACGGCCAGGACTCAAAAAATCCAACCAACGACGGATCTTCAAATATTTCGCGAAGGAAACGAACTCCCATTTACGAGTTCCTGCGTTGTCTCATCCCCGCCAGTAAAGAGTTTAAATTGGTTTAGGTCGTGGAGTAGCACGTCAGTACATATTTGGGAAGAAAATCGGATATGGTTAGGAGTCGCGGTCTACCGTGAGATGATCCTGCACCTTAGGTTTAGCACACGACCAGTCCCAATGGGGCTCACTTTTTTATGAGATTTGGTAAAGTGATAGAGCTTGTAAAGTTTAATCCAACGATACCCGGTTTCGGGTGTACACAGCTTATTGTTTTTAAGATAATTAATGTTAAAGTTGTTAATAAATGGCTCCGAAAAGAGCCAATTTTTTAATGCGACGCGTTCGAAGCTCGCACCATTAACAACACGTTAATGAACTGCAGAAGACTGACGCGATGGCAACAATGTTCCGTTTTCCTACGACCGAGTTTCAACGTTTTCTTGAACGTTGCGAACGACGTGTTTACTCTAAGGATGCTGCAAAGGGTTCAAGTAAACTTTACGAAACTTGTCAACGTGGTACGTGTTGTTAACGGTGCGAATTTCGAACGCGTCGCATTAAAAAGTCGGCTCTTTTCAGTACCATACATATAAACCCAAAAAAGTTTGTCCGTAAATATTATTGATAAGTGATCAGTGTTTTGCGATAATGCAGTGACAGTGAACTTTGAAATAGTCTGCCAAGAGACATCTTTCTGTTCATCATATTATGTCGGATACAAAGCAACTGTGCAGTTCATCATACATTGTACGAGGTAATGCACTATTCTCCTGCATACATTACCGAACATGAAGTGAATTTACAACTAAATTGGTGAATTTCTTATTGATAATATTTTTCATATTCCTTTAACAAACAAATCCAATACGTTCTTCAACGCGATTATTTATTATTAAATTAGCTTTGCGAATCGTTCGTTGAATTCTGTTCGGACACGGAATTATTTGAATTAAAGTATCATTTACGTACTTTGTTAATCTTCACTGTATACCTCGCATAAAAATTGTTGCTGTAACGGTTAAACTACTCATTCTTTCGGGTCCAAAAAATTAGTAAATATTCTTCAGACATTCTGAAATAAGGATGAATAGCGTTTTTTTTAAATTGTCACTGTCACGTAGTAAAAAAAATTCGGAAGTTCACGCTCCGTGACTTGTTCTTCGATTCGATCAATCGACCGCGTTGCAATTCGCGCCCTCGCCTCTCAATTGTCAGTGTTTTTCGTTAATAACTCGTAAACAAAGTCTCGGATTACATTTTCGCAAAGGAAAAAGTTACTTAGAATAACCTTAGCTACCTCCCATTTCTATATTGCGAGACATTTTTAGGACACGCTGTATAGCTTGTCCGACTGCGATTTTTTGCCCGGGCTTCCGGCTTTCTTCGCAGGGCCACCCCTGGTTCTGCTGATTAACTTCCTGGGGAGATTTCGAGAGGGCTTGGCGATTTCATTTCAAAGAATTGATCGACCAAGAACGGTTACTTAGGGACCTACAGGAACGGATGCAAGGCTCGCAGGAACAGGTGCGCGATTATATAGCGTTAATGATAGGGGCCTTGAGAATCATCTCTAACCTCCTTGACTGGAAGCACGCCAGATAAAGACATTATATTGGGATGCGAGGTCCGCGTTATGTATCGCGGTCGCTCTGATATTGATTACCACAAATGACGTTTTTCAAGCGGAACTCCTCCAAGCCGAACGGGATTTTTAACGGGAATCCGCATCATTATGAGGTTCCGAAAACGGCGGGATAAATGAAATCGAAAATCACGGGACCGTTTGAGTATGTAAACGCCGCGATACCCACTGAACTGCGAGTTCGGGAGACTAAACTGGAGGAGCGGGGTATGCCCCGCAACCTGTTCGCGGACACCAACGTACCCAACTTGCCAACATTCATATGCAGCAACCTAATACGTAACGATTAAGACAACATAGCTCTCTCGCTCTTGATCGTCTGTTTAGGCACCTTTGCACCCAATGGTGTCGATGATTCTATTTGGAATATGTTCTGAGTAGTGCAAGGAAGACTTCACAAATCTGATTGGATAATGCCAATGAATTACAATGGTGCATGAATTGGAATTCCGACAGCGGATTGCGCAAATACCTACTGTGCAAGATAGGGGGTGGCGCTAAGAGACCAGGCTTTATGAAAGTTTGCATTACTTTAGAATTTATAAAAGAAAATGATTTAGAATTCTTTAAGTATTTCTATGTTCAAGAGGACTGAGGAATCAGTGCCTATCGTGCTGACACAATAAATTGAACGTGTAACAATTTTTTTTATTCTAACCACGGCGTATTAAATTGGAAAATCTGTAAAACTGTACAATAATTATAACATTATATCGATACTGTGCTCACTCTAGTGCTTTCATATGAAATCTAAATTTTTTCGTTTTTAGTAGGTTTTTGATTTTTTTCAGCCAGCATTATCTCGGATTTTTCTCAAAATTTCTGAACGGTGGATGATGTGGTCGAGAACCCTACAAAGCGACAAGTACAACTCGAATATTGCGCCGCGTGCACCAGATGAAGTGCCAAGCATACAGATGCACAGAAAAGTGAGGCCATAACACGACAGAGTAAGACAAGCTAGATTTCTGGTCCGTGTGCATACTCAGACGATCTGCGGACGTTACTGCGGTACTAATGCGGTATTAAATGTGCAGTAAAATGAGTGGGAGGTTGAGGAAGCAAAAAAAGCGTGCAGGAGCAGGACCCTTTACCGTATACAGGGTGGTCTACGGAATTGTTTCAGGCTATAACTCCGTTATTAATGCATTTATGAAAGAATACTAAAGAAAGAAGGATTAGATTTTTTAAGTGCAGCAGTATATGTGCAATTAACAATTGCATCATTTCTTTAAATGGAAATACATATTTTTTGTCGCACATATAGATTCCTGTGTTCATTCTACGTAAAAAATTATTAGGATGTCATAGAAAAAAATATGATTAATTTTCGAGATATTTTCAAAAATGACTTTATTGAAGAAGATGCTCAAAGCTTCTTCATTATTATAAACATTTCTGATAACTTTTTTTTTTATTGTTTTCATAACTATGTTTAAATTATCTGCCGTTATTGCTGCACATTCCCGTGTGATCCGTTCTCTCAGGTCCTTCACAAAATTTACAGGATTTGAATGAATCCTGGAGAGTATAGTAATAACTACATAAAGTTTAAACGCAGTTATGAAAACAATAAAAAGCGTTATCAGAAATGTTATCAGCGTTATCAGACATTTTTTATAATATTATAAGTAAATAAATAATATTATAAGTAAATATAACTTTTTTGCCGTCATACCCTAATAATTTTGTCTGTAGAATGGGTCACAAGAGAGAGAGAGGTTATTTGAACGGCGGTTCAAAACAACATTCGTGGACGCGTTTCAAATTCAACCGTAAACGAGTAACGATTGAATCAACATAAACAAGAGGATTCTTGATAACGATACTTGATCCGCTATCACAAATTCCATG